TCTAAGGAATGTTGTGGTGTTTATAACTATACCGATTGGATGCAGGCCTCTTGGATGTCGCAAAATATAAGGGAATATCGTGAGGCAATGTTTGATATTAACATCATGCCGGAATATGCTATGTGTACTACCACCGAATGTTCTCCGTATTACTTTGATAATGATAACAGTGATCAATTTGGAAATCAACCAGAATTTCCAAATATCCCGCCCTCATATGGCTCTAGTGATCAAATGTATGGGTAAGATTTGGAAATTAAAGAAATAATTATTTATATTCCAATTTTGTGTTTCTTTAGGCAGCAAATCTTGGCTCCCTATGCTTGCTGTAAGCACAATAGTTCATCCTGTTATGCCAACTATATGCCCCATGTGAAAAGATCTTCTAGTGATAGTAATCGTTTGCCACATCTAAATTTAACAGATATAAATACAAAAGGTTGTTTTACGCTATTCACTCGCCAATTGTCAAATATTATGGATTTACTTTTCATTCTCATATTGGTGGCAGTTCTTATAGATGTAAGTGAAATAATTTAATAATTACAGCTTAACTTTTCCTACTTATCCCCAGATTTTAATATGTTGCCTCACAAAATATCTAATGGCTACCAACTATTTGAGAAGCTATCGGGAGTTTAATAACGATTTATGTATGTTCGATGATGAGGGCAATGCTTTGGTGGTTATAAAATGCCCCCCAAAAGTTAAGTGCATAACATTAGAGGAACCCAATACCTTTTCAGGTTCAGATATTCCCAATATGGTGTCAAGTACGGAGGCGTGCCAATGTTGTAGCAATGGCCAGGAAAATGTTGTGGATCCGGATGGTCGTTTAAAGCCCAAAAAGAAAAATAACTCATATTTTGTACACTAGTTTTAAGTTGGAATTATAAAATATAGATCTTATATTTATTATATTACTTTTAATAATAGATTGTACGAATTTTATATCGAATTATCTACAATCAGCAGCTTTTTTGAGAGATTTATAAAATTATGGAAATGGACGCAATCAGATTGGAGGCAAATTTTCAAATCGAATAAAAACTTAACAAGAACTGAAGCAGAATTGAAGTAGAATTGAACTAGAACTGAACGAGAACTGAACTAGAACTGAACTAGAACTGAACTAGAGCTGAACTAGAACTGAACAAGAACTGAACTAGAACTGAAAACTAGAACTGAACTAGAACTGAACTAGACGAACTAGAAAAACTGACCTAGAACTGACTAGAACTGAACTAGAACTGAACTAGAACTGAACTAGAACTGAACTAGAACTGAACTAGAACTGAACTAGAACTGAAACTAGAACTGAACTAGAACTGAACTAGAACTGAACTAGAACTGAACTAGAGAACTGAACTAGAACTGAACTAGAACTGAACTAGAACTGAACTAGAACTGAACTAGAACTGAACTAGAACTGAACTAGAACTGAACTAGAACTGAACTAGAACTGAACTAGAACTGAACTAGAACTGAAACTAGAACTGAACTAGAACTGAACTAGAACTGAACTAGAACTGAACTAGAACTGAACTAGAACTGAACTAGAACTGAACTAGAACTGAACTAGAACTGAACTAGAACGGAACTAGAACTGAACTAGAACTGAACTAGAACTGAACTAGAACTGAACTAGAACTGAACTAGAACTGAACTAGAACTGAACTAGAACTGAACTAGAACTGAACTAGAACTGAACTAGAACTGAACTAGAACTGAACTAGAACTGAACTAGAACTGAACTAGAACTGAACTAGAACTGAACTAGAACTGAACTAGAACTGAACTAGAACTGAAACTAGAACTGAACTAGGACTGAACTAAACTGAACTAGAACTGAACTAGAACTGAACTAGGACTAGAACTGAACTAGAACTGAACTAGAACAGACTGATCTAGAACTGATCTAGAACTGAACTAAGACTAGAACTAGACTGAACTAGAACTGAACTAGAACTGAACTAGAACTGAACTAGAACTGAACTAGAACTGAACTAGAACTGAACTAGAACTGAACTAGAACTGAACTAGAACTGAACTAGAACTGAACTAGAACTGAACTAGAACTGAACTAGAACTGAACTAGAACTGAACTAGAACTGAACTAGAACTGAACTAGAACTGAACTAGAACTGAACTAGAACTGAACTAGAACTGAACTAGAACTGAACTAGAACTGAACTAGAACTGAACTAGAACTGAACTAGAACTGAACTAGAACTGAACTAGAACTGAACTAGAACTGAACTAGAACTGAACTAGAACTGAACTAGAACTGAACTAGAACTGAACTAGAACTGAACTAGAACTGAACTAGAACTGAACTAGAACTGAACTAGAACTGAACTAGAACAGAACTAGAACCGAACTAGAACTGAACTAGAACTGAACTAGAACTGAACTAGAACAGAACTAGAACTAAACTAGAACTAACTAGAACTGAACTAGAACTGAACTAGAACTGAACTAGAACTGAACTAGAACTGAACTAGAATTGAACTAGAACTGAACTAGAACTGAACTAGAACTGAACTAGAACTGAACTAGAACTGAACTAGAACTGAACTGAAACTGAACTAAAACTGAACTAGAACTGAACTAGAGCTATACTAGAACTGTAATAGAACTCAACTGGAACTTATCTAGAACTGAACTAGAACTGAACTAGAGCTATACTAGAACTGTAATAGAACAGAACTAGAACTGAACTAGAACTGAACTAGAACTGAACTAGAACAGAACTAGAACAGATCTAGAACAGAACTAGAACTGAACTAGAATTGAACTAGAACTGAACTAGAACTGAACTAAAACTGAACTAGAACTGAACTAGAACTGAACTAGAACTGAACTAGAACTGAACTAGAACTGAACTAGAACTAGACTTAACTAGAACTAAACTTGAACTGAATTAAAACTGAACTAGAAATGAACTAGAACTAGAAGTAAAATAGAACTATACTAGAATTGTAGTAGAACTGAGCTGGAACTTATTTAGAACTGAATTAGAACCGAACTAGAACTGCACTATTTTGCATTTTCTATTCTAATTTTGAAGCAAATGATTCTTTGTCATATTTTGTTATTAGATTGTGCTGAAATGAATTCGTTTTAATCACATTCTACTGTTTTTTCAGTTGCTATGGCCACATGTTTACAAATAAAAACTTTTCGAACTTGTTGACATAACTCTTTGTTGGTTTTAAACAATTTGGAAACACTGCTCTCAACACTTGTCAACAATGTCATAAATTTTCATTTTCAAATTGTGTTGAAAAGAATTCGGAACTGAATGTTATAATTTAAAAAATGGCGGAGGGAAATTCTGATAAATATGATGGCGCTGATTTGGATAGTTTGAATTCAACCGATGAGGAGGGTAAGTTTTGTCATTTGAAATAAAATTTAGCAAAATTGTTAAGAAAATTTTATATAAAAAATTGCTTTGTGGAAGGAATTTAAGTTCTCTTGTCTAAACGAAAAAAAAAACCCGATCCCGAATCGATTCTCTTTCGTATTCTTAATTCAAATTTATGCAATTTATTTTAATACAATTTTTTAACTATCCAAAATCGGAACCTAATGCAATTCTTTATATCAAGTCCTATTACTTTAGGATAATTTAAAGAACCCATTTTTTCTTCATTTACAGCCGAAACAAATGCTAATGATCAAGAGCAAACAGTTACCGAAATACCCCAGCCCAAGTATTCAGATGAAGAACTCATCAAACTAGTCGACTATGTGCAACGCATGACAATGCTTTTTGCTCTCGATCATCGTGATTGGACCGAGAGTACACTCGATATGATAAGACGTTGGATATTGGAAGTTAATGAACCTTTACTAACCATATTCTATGATGCTAATAAATTAACCGCCTGCTTGGGATTTCCCATTGCTCCAGTCGCAGATCTTACCTATTTTAGTCGAGCACCCAATTGCATCTTTACCGTTGAGGGCTTCCACGATGAAGTTAACTTCGGCACAATACACGAAGATGTAGATTATTGTTTGCTAAAAGTATTGCAATTTGTTTATGCTCCCATATTTAGTAATTATACCGATTGGAATGAGAATGTAAAGTCAAGATTTTGTCAGGCCATGGATCGTTTTTTGTCTTATCTGACAAATTTGAATTCCAAAATGGCAGGCATGACTTTGCTGTATATACCCTATGTGGTGAAACAAATGGAGCGTGAAAATGTAGCTCATGATAGGGAATTTGTTAAGAATATGGAATCGATTGTAGTGTTCTGGACTAATCAGATTAGAACCTTACTTAGTGATAAGGTTCTAGTGGTGCCTCACGATTTGGTGGTACTGCAAGAGGAATATGAATTTTGGATGTATAGATGTAAGTACATAAGTGAAAAACTTCTAACTAAATAATGCAGAACTTTCTTCTCATTTTAAAGTTGAGGTTTTACATGGCATCGAGACCCAATTGGATCAGGCGGATGTGCAAAATATTATCAAAGTATTACGGGCTTCTCATTCAGTTTATATTAAACAGATTGATGCTTTAATTAGTGAATGTCGTTTGGAGGTGGAGGAAGCTAAATCCAATATAAAATATCTCCATTTATTAGTTGAGCCCTGTGCCCAAATCGAAAAAGCCAAAAGTCCCGCTGAGGTGCCGGCACTTTTGCCGCGCATTATCAATTTCATACGTTACATATGGCTGAATTCCCCCTTCTATAATAGAAAGGACTTGATCACCAATCTTTTTCGTAATCTTAGCAATCAAATAATACGTTTTTGTGTGGCCCAAACTAATGTGGATGTTATTTTGCAAGGAAAGTCCCGATTTGGTATTAAAATGTGCAATATGTCCATAGATTGTTGTCTCTCCTATAAGGCTATCTATGAGCTTATGAGCAAGGATCTCGTAGTAACTACGCCCAAATTGGGTTGGGATCTAGACAATGCTATGATCTTTAATCATGTAGATGCCTTTATTGAAAGACTTAACGATCTAATAGACATTTGTGAATCCATGATAGTATTCGCCCGTTTGGATGAAGATGAATCAATACCCAGGCCACGTTTTGGCGGTACTAATGGCAAAGAGTTTGAGAAAACTGCCGAGAGCGTTGAAACTCAATTTCTGCAATTACTCACAGCCTTAAAAACGGACTCAAAAGATTTGATTTTAAATGTACACAAAAATATCTGGTATATAGAAGTTCTCAAATATCGACGCACCATACAAAGTTTGGAGGAAACTATACAACGTCTCATGTCCAATGCCTTTCAAAGTGTTTGCAACATTGAGGAGGCTTTAGAGGTCTTAAATGTTATATTATTTTACTCCTATCGTTCCACCATAAGAAAAACCTATTTGAGTATGGTCAGCAGAGTATGGAATATGTTTGTTAATGAAATGAATTCGACCTCGAAAATGCTTATGGATCGTGTTAAGGTACATGAGTCGTGGTTAAACTATTATGCCTCTCGAGCTGTAGCCTATCGCATTAGTACCGAACGTTTGCAGTGGCTAAGAGATCGTCTTAAGAACTCCCATTGGTTACCAGCCGTACCCGAAGCTGCCGGCGCTTTAGCCAAATTTGAGAATGTTAAAAAAGATTTCCAACTAGCCACACGCAAAACATTTGACGACTGGGTTAAGAACTGCAGCAGCACTAACTTGCTGGGACGTTTAGAACGTACTCTCCTAGTGAGAAGTAAGATCAAGAAAGGTCTGCTAGAATGCAACATAGATCGTTCGGTCTTAAACATATGCCAACAGGCACAACATTTCGAGCAACTAGGATTTCAAATACCCGGTACCATACGTAAACTTTATGAAAAATATGCCACATTAAATTTCGTTTACAACAGTGTGATAACCGTTTGCATAGACTACAATCGTATACTGAACGCACTCTCGGAAGACGAACGCAAACTTTTTCGAGCCCTAATACAATCTTGTGATCGTAAAATTGCTCCCGGTCTCTTTAAATTGACCTGGGGTGGAGAGTTGAGTGATGCCTATATAGTGGACTGTGCTAAACACACCTCAAAATTACAGACATCTTTAGATATCTATAAGAGAGCTAATCTTAATATAAGAAAAATTTGTGAGCAGATCTGTGATACTCCTCTGCTGAAGTTTACCTTGTCGGGTGCTGTAGAGTTGTCGGTGTTTGAATTGAATATATCGGCTTTTAATCGCCGTGCAACTAATGAAATATTGAACTTATATGATACGATTATAGATTTACTGTTTGCGGTATTTAAGGAGTTTCAATATGTTATCGAAGAGGTAAGTTCTATAGGTTCATAAGACTAGACAAGGCCAGACTATAAACTAGACTATAGACTAGACTATAGACTAGACTATAGGCTGGACTATAGACTAGACTATAGACTAGACTATAGACTAGACTATAGGCTGGACTATAGACTAGACTATAGACTAGACTATAGACTAGACTATAGACTAGACTATAGGCTGGACTATAGACTAGACTATAGACTAGACTATAGACTAGACTAGACTATAGACTAGACTAGACTATAGACTAGACTATAGACTAGGCTATACACTAGGCTATAGACTAGGCTATAGACTAGACTATAGACTAGACTATAGACTAGACTATAGACTAGATTATAGACTAGACTATAGACTAGACTATAGACTAGACTATAGACTAGACTATAGACTAGACTATAGACTAGACTATAGACTAGACTATAGACTAGACTATAGACTAGACTATAGACTAAACTATAGACTAGACCATAGACTAGACTATAGACTGGACTATAGACTAGACTATAGACTAGACTATAGACTGGACTATAGACTAGACTATAGACTAGACTATAGACTGGACTATAGACTAGACTATAGACTAGACTATAGACTAGACTAAAGACTAGACTATAGACTAGAATTTAGACTAGATTTTAGACTAGACTTTAGACTAGACTTTAGACTAGACTATAGACTAGACTATAGACTAGCCTATAGACTAGACTACAAACTAGACTATAGACTATAGACTAGACTATAGACTAGACTATAGACTAGACTATAGACTAGACTATAGACTAGACTATAGACTAGACTATAGACTAGACTATAGACTAGACTATAGACTAGACTATAGACTGGACTATAGACTAGACTATAGACTAGACTATAGACTAGACTATAGACTAGACTATAGACTAGACTATAGACTAGACTATAGAGTAGACTATAGACTAGACTATAGACTAGACTATAGACTAGACTATAGACTAGACTATAGACTAGACTATAGACTAGACTATAGACTAGACTATAGAATAGACTATAGACTAGACTATAGACTAGACTATAGACTAGACTATAGACTAGACTATAGACTAGACTATAGACTAGACTATAGACTAGACTATAGACTAGACTATAGACTAGACTATAGACTAGACTATAGACTAGACTAGACTAGACTAGACTATAGACTAGACTATAGACTAGACTATAGACTAGACTATAGACTAGACTATAGACTAGACTATAGACTAGGCTATAGACTAGACTATAGACTAGACTATAGACAAGACTATAGACTAGACTATAGACTAGACTAGACTATAGACTAGACTATAGACTAGACTATAGACTATAGACTAGACTATAGACTAGACTATATACTAGACTATAGACTAGACTATAGACTAGACTATAGACTAGACTATAGACTAGACTATAGACTAGACTATAGACTAGACTATAGACTAGACTATAGACTAGACTATAGATTAGACTATAGACTAGACTGTAGATTAGACTATAGACTAGACTATAGATTAGACTATAGACTAGACTATAGATTAGACTATACACTTGAATATGTGGAAAACCTATAATTTCAGAACTGCCCATATTGAATAATTTTTAATTTCAGATGGTCACAGAATGGTATGATTATGTCAAACAATTCGACAATATGTTGGCAGAGGCACTCATGATTTGTGCCCGAAATTCCCTTAACAATGTCTACAGTTCATTAAAATCCGAAGGTGATATCAATCCCGCACCCTTAATAATCCTAATGGCTGATATTGAAGATAAAGATATAGCACTGAAACCAGACATGGAAACTATTGAAATGTTGATGACAAAAATGTTCGATCGTATTTTGAATAGTCTAAATAGTGTGCCACGTATAGCGGCCAAACTAGAATTGCCCGCTAAACTTATTGGTCCAACTTTTGCGGAACTAATGAAAACCGATGCTATTATCATAGAGACACAAGATAAAATCTCGTTGGAGCTAGACTATAATAAAGAGGAAATTGAAAGATTTATTATAAGTTGGAATGATTTTCAAGATATTTGGGATATGGATGAAGAGAAGTTTATAGCGAAAATTGAACAAACGAATCAGGAGGCTGAAATTTTCGAGGATAGCATTGAATCTTATAGTACTCAGGCGGAAATCATAGCTACCAAAGATGCTATAGTTAATGTATACTTTTTAATGATTAATCAGATGTCCTTGAAAAGTTCTATATTGGATTATATAGAAAAGTGGCAATTGTTAAATATTAAACTTTTGACCAAAAGAGCTTCCTCAAGAATTAAAAGTAAGTTTAGTGGTATTTTTTTGGGGGTAGTAAAATTAATTACAAGTATTGTATTTAAAGGTGTTTACCGTTATGTCAAACGTAATGAGAAACGTGTAGCTGTAGTGCCGCGTACTTTAAAAGAGGCCCGAGAAGCTACGCTTTTATTTAATCGCCTAACGCAGGAGGTTCCAGTCAAGCAAGCTGAATTCCCCAATATATTTGATTTGTTTAAGGTTTTGGATAAATATCAAATCGAAATTTCGGATACAATCAAAGTTTTGATCTTAAATTTGCCACCCACATGGGAAAACTATTTAAAGAAACTTGGCGAAGCGGGCGATATGTTGGATAATACCAAGGAAGACTTCAAACAAAACCTACTAACACAGGCAGAGAAATTCCGTAATATTATTAAGGAATTTTTAGCGGATTTTATGGTGAAATTACCCACCTCTGCACAAACGTAATTTCTTAAGAAAACTTATAAACCTTTCCTTTTAAACTTTTCCTCTTTTTTCCCCCCTTCTTAATTTATAGAAATCCTAAAATAGCCTTAAAATATTTAAAAATTATCGAAACTAAAGTAGCAGATTGTTTTAAGTTTGAACAAAGTTTAATAAATGATTTATCGACATTTTATATCAATCAACCGGAAAATTTGGACTTGAAAAAACTCAGCAGTGAAGTACAGATAGTTAAGGGTATTTGGTCCTTGATTTTAGAATGGCAAAATGCCTGGAATGAATGGCGTGTGGGTAATTTTTGGAAAATCAATATTGATATAATGGAAGACACCGCAATTTCATTGTATAAAGAGTTCAGTGCTTTGAATAAGAAATATTATAATCGGTCCTGGGATATGCTAATAGTTACCACTAAAAATCTCGATAGTTTTAGAAGAACTTTGCCGCTTATAACAGCTCTTAAGAATCCCTGCATGCGTAAGAGACATTGGGATCGTGTTAGAAACTTAATGCAGGTGTAAGTTTTATTTGCTTTTAAATCTTAAGGTCCCCGCCTATACTATATAATTTTTATTTATTCTTAGCGATTTTGATGAAAATTCCAAGAATTTCACTTTAGAATTAATAATAAACCTAGATTTCCAGGCGTATTCTGAGGATATACAAGATATCTCGAATGCTGCCACCATGGAGCTACAAATAGAAAATGGTATTAAAAATATAGCCGGCATTTGGCGTAAACAACTTCTGGAGATGGTTTTCTATCGGGATGGTATTTATAAAATCAAAAGTGTAGATGAATGCACCCAATTGTTGGAGGAACATATGGTACAACTTTCCGCCATGAAATCCACTCGATTTGTAGAACCCTTTGCTGTGGTGGTAGATTATTGGGAGAAAACTTTGTCGTATATCTCGGAAACTTTGGAAAAAGCTTTAGTGGTTCAGCGACAATGGTTGTATTTGGAAAATATATTCGCTGGCGAAGATATACGCAAGCAATTGCCCAATGAAGCCAAACGTTTTGGCATTATAACTGAAGAATTTAAGACCATAACAGATAAAATGTTTTCAGCCAAAACGGCCTTAAGGGCCACACATTTTAGAAGACCTCCTTTTTTGTTGAACAGATTTCAAAAGATAGACGAAAGATTGGAAACCATACAAAGAGCTTTAGAAATCTATTTGGAAACTAAAAGACAATTGTTTCCCCGTTTTTATTTCATTTCCAATGATGATCTTTTGGAAATTTTGGGCAATAGCAAAAGACCGGATTTAGTACAGCTGCACTTAAAGAAACTATTCGATAATCTGGTGAAATTAGAACTCAAAAGAGTGGGTAAAACCCTTAATCGCTGGCAAGCCTTGGGCATGTATGCCGATGATGGTGAATATGTGGAATTCCTTAATGTGATTTACATAGATGGTCCTTCCGAGAAATGGCTTAAAGTTTTAGAAGACTATATGTTTGCTGTTCTCAAGGAACAGCTAAAACTTACCCGGGCAGCTTTAAAGAAATTGGCCGGTAACCGTGAAAAGTGGTTATCCCTGTGGCCGGGGCAATTGGTTAATACCACCTGTTTAATAAATTGGACCACAGAATGTACACGCAGTCTGATACATTGCAAAACGGTGAATCAAAAGAAACCTTTAAGAAAACTAAAAAGCAAACAAAGTAAAATTCTAGGTAAACTTTCCGAAATGAGTAGAAAAGATCTAAGCAAGATCATGCGTTTAAAAGTTAATACTCTAATCACTGTGGAGATACATGGTCGTGATGTTATCGAACGTATGTATAAGAATAATTGTAAAGATGTGGGTCACTTTGAATGGTTTTCCCAATTACGATTCTATTGGCATCGTGAATCTGAGACCTGTGTGGTTAGACAAACTAATACCGAACATTGGTATGGTTATGAGTATATAGGCAATTCGGGTAGACTTGTTATAACTCCTCTAACCGATAGATGTTATATAACCCTAACTACGGCCTTGCATTTATATAGAGGCGGTAGTCCTAAGGGTCCCGCTGGCACGGGTAAGACAGAAACAGTAAAAGATCTGGGTAAAGCTTTAGGCATGTGGGTTATAGTTACCAACTGCTCGGAGGGTTTGGATTTTAAGAGTATAGGCAAAATCTTTTCGGGTTTAGCTCAAACTGGTTCCTGGGGTTGTTTCGATGAATTCAATCGCATTAATATAGAAGTGTTATCTGTGGTGGCCCAACAAATTCTTTCGGTTATATCTGCCTTAACAGCCAAACAAACCGAGTTTCTATTTGAGGGTCAGGTAATCAAACTAGTGCCTACGGTGGGCTTGTTTATTACCATGAATCCCGGCTATGCGGGTCGTACCGAACTGCCAGATAATTTGAAATCTATGTTTCGTCCTATATCCATGATGGTGCCCGATAATGTTATCATTGCCGAAAATACTCTTTACTCCGATGGTTTCACTAATACCCGTAGTTTAGCGCGCAAGGTCTATACTTTATATGAACTGGCCAAACAGCAGCTGTCCAAACAATATCATTATGATTTTGGTTTACGTTCCATGGTGGCTTTACTAAGATATGCTGGACGCAAAAGAAGACAATTGCCTGAGGCCTCCGAAGAGGAAGTGGTTTATTTGGCCATGCGTGATATGAATGTAGCTCGTTTGACCGCTAATGATTTGCCCCTATTTAATGGCATTATGTCCGATATATTTCCCGGAGTTGATGTTCCCCTTATAGATTACAGTGATTTTAAAGATGCCATAGAAGATGAACTTAAAGTCAATGGTTTACAACTAATACCTATAGCCATTAAAAAGGTCATAGAGTTATATGAAACCAAAAATTCCCGACATTCCTCTATGATAATAGGTGATACTAATACAGCCAAGTCGGTGACTTGGAAGTGCTTGCAGGGAGCTTTCATAAGAATGAATAACAATAAGAAACCGGGTTGGCCTGCTGTAGTAGTTTATCCGGTAAATCCTAAGGCCTTGAACTTGGCAGAATTATATGGAGAATATAATTTGGCTACCGGCGAATGGTTAGATGGGGTGCTCAGTTCTATAATGCGTGTCATATGTGCCGATGAAGATCTTACACAAAAATGGCTATTATTTGATGGTCCGGTAGATGCAGTTTGGATAGAAAATATGAACTCGGTCATGGATGATAATAAACTTTTGACTTTGGTTAATAGTGAACGTATTACCATGCCGGCCCAGGTTTCCTTACTATTCGAAGTGGCTGATTTGGCAGTGGCTTCACCCGCTACAGTTTCTCGCTGTGGCATGGTTTATAATGATTATCATGATTGGGGTTGGCGTCCCTATGTAAAATCCTGGTTGGCCCAACAGAAACCCGCAGAATATGTTAAATTTATAACGGAATATTTTGAAGAATTTCTTGATAAATTATTAAACTTTAAACATTATCAATGTAAGGAGATTGTCGAAACCAATGAATTGAATACGGTTATATCCATGTGTAACCTCTTGGAGGGGTTTGCTACCAAACAGAATGGCATTGTAACGGGTAATGATGAGTTGTTGGAAACTATGTCGAAACTATGGTTTTTGTTTTCTATGATTTGGTCTGTTTGTGCCACTGTGGATGAGGATGGTCGTAATAAAATTGATGCTTTTATACGTGAATTGGATGGTAGTTTTCCGATTAAGGATACCGTATATGATTATTATGTCGATCCTAATCAGAAATCTTTCTTACCCTGGAATAATAAACTATCGGATACTTGGAAATATGATGAAGAGTAAGTGCTTAAAAAAGGGGGAGAGAGAGAGAGCTACCAACTAACTTAAGATTAAGAGAACTCTAAAATTCAAGAATTTCTTAAGATATTTGGACTTCTGTTATTTAGTAACTCTTATCGAATTTAACCTTACTTTAAAACTTAACTGATTCATTTATTTTTATTGGCATTTCAGAGCTGCATTTTATAAAATTATAGTTCCCACCGTTGACACGGTTAGATATGAATATTTAGTTTCAAAACTCTTACAAGATGGTCGTCCCGTACTTTTGGTCGGCAATGTTGGTACGGGCAAAACTTCAACAGCTGTTAGCGTAATGGAATCTTGCGATAAGACAAAGTTTACTGTATTCTCTATAAATATATCGGCTCAGGTGGGTCATGCATTCATATGTTATAGATCGGTTCATTCTTAAAAAAAAAACATCTTAGCTTACTCCATAGAAATATAAATTTAGAGTAAAAAGTCGGGCTCTCGAATTACCAATCAAATTTTATTTCGGAAATTGCCCTTTTTCTTATATTTTTAGCGATATTGTGAATCAAGAGATTATGGTTCATTATAATCAAGATAAGGGCTGCTTTTTTTATTCTTGAACCGATCTAATATACCGAAAATATATGCAAAATATTAATGTATTTCTTAATAACAGACCACTGCTGCTGGCCTACAAGAATCCATAGAAAATCGTACCGAAAAAAGAACCAAAACACATTACGTACCCATTGGAGGCAAGAAAATGATATGCTTTATGGACGATTTCAATATGCCGGCTAAAGATGTTTATGGTTCTCAACCACCACTCGAATTGATAAGACAATGGATTGACTATAAATATTGGTTTAATCGTAGAAATCAACAGAAAATCTATGTACTTAATACCTTACTTATGGCCGCTATGGGTCCACCGGGTGGAGGTAGACAAATTATTTCCTCACGCACTATGAGCAGATTTTTTCTACTCAATATGACATTCCCCACTGAAGATATTGTAAGTCGAATATTTGGCACTATGATAAGACAAAAATTACAAACATTTTCGAATGAAGTTCGTGAACTATGGGAACATATAACGGAAGCTTCTATACATATCTATCGCGATGTAGTGGATAGAATGCTACCCACTCCTAATAAGTCACATTATTTATTCAATCTTAGAGATATATCGAAAGTATTCCAGGGTTTATTGCGCAGTAATTCGGAGGTGCAAGTTAAGAAATCTCAATTCCTAAGACTTTGGATTCATGAGTGTTTTAGGGTTTATAGCGATCGCCTAGTAGATGATAATGATCAGTCATGGTTTCAAAATAAAGTCAATGAGGTTTTGGGTAAATATATGGAAATAACTTTACACAGTTTGTGTCCCAATAAGGCGGTGCCAATTTTCGGCGACTTTATGAGTGCTCAGGGTTTTTACGAAGATTTGCCTAACGACAAATTGAGATTATATATAAATAATCAAATGTTGGAATACAATAATTCCGGTATGGCACGCATGCAGTTGGTATTCTTTAAAGATGCCATAGAACATGTGGCCAGAATTGTTAGGGTTATATCCCAACCCAGGGGCCATATGTTAAATATTGGCATAGGTGGTTCCGGCCGCCAGGTATTGGTAAAACTGGCTGCTTTTATATTGGAAATGGGTGTGTTCCAGATAGAGGTAACCAAGAAATACAAGACCCAGGAGTTTAGAGAAGATTTAAAGACTCTATATAAATTAACTGGGGTCAAGCAAAGAGCTATGGTGTTCATTTTTAGTGGCGAGCAAGTGGTGGAGAATACATTTTTGGAAATCATTAATAATATGTTAAGTACAGCCGAAATTAATCTTTTCAAATCGGATGAGTTTGAAGAGTTGAAAAATGAACTGGAGAGACCAGCCAAAAAGGCCAATGTACAATTGTCCACCGAGGCCTTGTATAATTTTTTTATGCAAAATGTGCGCGATAATATGCATATAGCTTTAGCCATGAGTCCTATAGGCGAATCATTTCGTTCGTATTTAAGACAATATCCGGCTCTCATAAACAACACTACCCCCAACTGGTTTAGACTATGGTCTCAGGAAGCTTTACTAGAAGTTGCCTCCACATTTTTAACCGGTTTTAAGATTAGAGTGGCGGCACCCGGTAAAGAAAACGAAAAAAATCGAGATAGTTTAGTGGAGGCAACAGAAGTTACCTTACAGCGTGAAGTGGCCTATAGTTTTTCTATTATTCACTCCAATGTTACCGAAATATCGGACTTGATGTTAAGAGAAGTTAAAAGGCAAAATTATGTTACTTCCCTAAACTATTTGCAGCTGGTAAGTGGTTTTAAAGAACTTCTGGAGCAGAAAAGATATGAAATATCTTCCAGTGCCAATAAGCTACGAAATGGTTTATCCAAAATAGCCGATACCCAGGAAAAGGTAAGTGGCATGTCCGAAGAACTTAAAGTGAGTTCGGCCCAAGTAAAAGTTTTAGCTGTGGAATGTGAGGAATTCATAGCGATTATAGAAACCCAAAAGGCCGAAGCTACTGAACAAAAAGAAAAGGTAGACTCTGAAGCGGTGGTAATAAAAAAAGATGAAGTCATTTGTTTGGAATTGGCTGCCACCGCTAAGGCCGATTTGGATGTGGTATTACCCATGATCGATGCTGCCGTTAAGGCTTTGGATGCCTTAAATAAAAAAGATGTTGCCGAGGTCAAATCGTATGGTAAACCTCCCATGAAAATCGAGAAAGTTATGGAGGCGGTATTGATTTTATTGGGCAAGGATCCCACTTGGGAAAATGCCAAAAAGGTATTGGGTGAGGCCACCTTTCTAAATGATCTCAAAAATTTCGATCGTGATAATGTTTCGGATAAAACTTTGAAAAGAATAGCTTTATATACCAAAAATCCAGAATTGGAACCCGACAAGGTGGCAGTGGTTTCCTTAGCCTGTAAATCATTAATGCAATGGATATTGGCCATAGAAAACTATGCCAAAGTTTATCGTATAGTGGCTCCTAAGCAAGAAAAATTAGATAATGCCATGCGTTCTTTGGCGGAGAAACAAGCTTTGCTGGCGGCAGCTAGAGCCAAATTGGAAGAGTTAAATGCCAGACTTGCCGAACTTTATCGTCAATTAAATGAGAAAACCGAACTTTTAAATGAGCTACGAGCCAAAGAAGAGAAATTGCGTAAACAGCTGGAAAGAGCTATAATATTAGTGGAATCTTTGGCGGGAGAAAGAGAACGTTGGATTGACACAGTGGCCAATTTAGATGCTCAATTTGAAAAGTTACCCGGCAACTGTTTGATATCCACAGCTTTTGTCTCTTACTTGGGACCTTTCGATACCAAATATCGTGAAATTCTATTAGATAAATGGTTAATACTCATAAAAGAAAGACAAATACCCTCTTCCGAAGAACTTAAAGTTACCTCTTTTCTCTTGGATGCAGTAACCGTAAGAGAGTGGAATATACAGGGTCTACCAGCAGATGATTTTAGCACCGAGAATGGCATGATTGTAACTAAGGGAAGTCGTTGGCCCTTGATAATAGATCCCCAAATGCAGGCGAATACTTGGATAAAAAACTTTGAACAAGATAATGATTTAAAAGTTATCGATTTTGGTCAATTGGATTATTTAAAAACTTTGGAGTTATCACTGCAAAATGGTAATCCTGTGTTATTGCAAAATGTGGGAGAACATATAGATCAGACCATAAATCCTATTCTAAAAAAGATGTATATTATACAAAGTGGCCAGAAGTTAATAAAATTCAATGATAAATTTATTACTTTTCATGATAATTTCCGTCTATATATAACCACCAAAATAACTAATCCCCATTATCCACCGGAAATTTCCTCCAAGACTACTATAGTTAATTTTGCTTTAAAACAGGATGGTTTACAGGCCCAATTACTGGGCATTGTGGTGCGCAAAGAAAAGCCCGCTTTAGAGGAACAAAAAGATGAATTGGTCATGACTATAGCACGCAATAAGAGAACTCTTATTGATTTGGATAATGAGATTTTAAGATTGTTAAATGAAAGCAAAGGTTCGATACTGGAAGATGATGAACTATTTGCTACCTTACAAAAATCCCGACAAACTTCGGCCTTGGTTAAGGAATCTTTAAGTACGGCTGAGGTAACGGAGATAGAAATAGATACTGCTAGACAAGAGTATCAACCTGCAGCCGAACGTGCTTCGATATTATTCTTTGTTTTAATGGATATGTCTAAAATAGATCCCATGTATGTGTTTTCTTTGGCGGCATATATATTGCTATTTACCCAGTCCATAGAGAAGAGTCCCCGACATTTAAATGTTAAAGAGCGTATTGTTAATATTAATGATTTTCATACCTATTCGGTTTATAAGAATACTTGTCGTGGTTTATTTGAAAAACATAAGCTGTTATTTTCCATACACATGTCGGCTCAGATATTGGCAAATGCGGGCAAGTTAGTGGAGGCGGAGTATGATTTTATTTTGAAGGGTGGTATAGTTTTAGATAAACTGGGTCAACCACCTAATCCAGCCTCAAGTAAGTATATTAATATTTAAATCTAATGTCTTTATCAGTTATATATATATATATATATATATATATATATATATATATATATATATATATATATATATATATATATATATATCGTTATATATTACTTCAGATTGGATTAGTGAACAATCCTGGGACAATATCACCGAATTGGATAAAGTGGCGGGTTTTCATGGTATTATCGATTCTTTTGAACAGAATGCCAAGTCTTGGCAAAGTATGTTTTAATTATTTCTTTTAGGTGTTAATCTCTATCTAAACTAATCCATTTACTCCTAGTTTGGTATGCCACCACCACCCCCGAAGTGGAGGATCTTGTGGGTGAATGGAATGATAAATTAACGGATTTTCAAAAGATTTGTGTTGTTAGATGTCTAAGGGCTGATCGCATACAATTTTGTCTCACACAATTTATTGTCAACTCATTGGGTCCGCGCTTTATAGAACCTCCTGTTTTAGATCTAAAAGTGGCCTTCGAAGAGTCTTTACCACAAACACCTTTAATTTTTGTCCTATCGCCGGGTGTAGATCCCACTCAATCACTTTTAACACTAGCCGAACAAGTGAAAATGTCATCTCATATATTTTCTCTTAGTTTGGGTCAAGGACAGGCTCCCGTGGCCACAAAAATGATAATGGATGGTATAAGAGAGGGTAACTGGGTATTTCTGGCGAATTGTCATTTATCGCTTAGTTGGATGCCTACTTTAGATAAAATAATAGCCACTATACAGTCCATGAAAATTCATAAAAGATTTCGTTTATGGTTAAGTTCCAGTCCTCATCCGGATTTTCCCATATCCATTTTACAAATCAGCATTAAAATGACCACTGAACCTCCCAGAGGCATAGAGGCCAATATGAAGCGTCTATACAGCAATGTAAATGAGGGAAATTTTGCTTTAGCCAATGATCCGGGAAAATATAAAAAGCTTTTATTCTCCCTATGCTTCTTTCATACTATACTATTGGAACGTAAAAAGTTTTTACAATTGGGTTGGAATGTTATCTATAGTTTTAATAATTCGGATTTTGAAATATCGGAAATCCTATTACTTTTATATCTAAACGAATATGAGGACACGCCCTGGGATGCTTTGAAGTACTTAATAGCGGGTGTAAATTATGGTGGTCACGTGACCGATGATTGGGATCGTAGATTGCTAACCACCTATATCAATCAATATTTCTGCAATGAGGCTTTAAATATTTCCAAATTTAGGTGGTTCCATATAATTTCATATATATAAACATAATTCAAATTTAAGTTTTATTTCCATTTTAGACTATCTTCGCTGGCCAATTATTTCATACCACCCGAAGGTGATTTACAGTCCTATAATGATCATATACAACAGTTTCCCAATTTTGATAAACCCGAAGCTTTTGGTCAACATTCTAATGCCGATATTGCTTCTCTAATAGGCGAAACTCGTTTACTTTTTGCTACTTTGATTTCTATGCAAGTTCAAACCTCAACAGCGGAAGGTGAAAGTAAAGAGTCTAAGGTTTTGCGTCTAGCGCAAGATATAGCTCAGAGCACTCCCAAGGAGTTAAATTATGAGCAAACTGCCAAATTGGTGGGTTTAAATCGTTCTCCTTTGGAAGTGGTATTACTGCAGGAAATGGAGCGTTATAATGTTCTATTAAGAAATATGAAAATACATTTAAGAGATCTTCAGAAAGGCATACAAGGTTTGGTGGTGATGAGTACGGATTTGGAAGATATATATATAGCGGTTTATGAGGGTCGCGTCCCCGCCTTATGGTTGAAGTGTAGGTTTTCTTCAAATCATTTAAATGTAAATTAAATTTGTTTCAAATCTTTAATTCCAGCTTATCAATCTGAAAAACCTTTAGCTTCCTGGTCTCGTGATTTGGTCTTTAGAATTGAACATTTCGCCAACTGGGCTAAGACCCTTAAGCCACCCATTCTCTTTTGGCTGGCGGCCTATACATTCCCCACCGGTTTCTTAACTGCTGTTTTACAAACTTCCGCCAGAGCCACTCGCACTCCTATTGATGAATTGAGTTGGGAATTTTTTGTTTTTGTGGAAGAAGATGCTGCCGCTGCTCGTATAGTACGAGAGGGTGGTGGGGTATATGTGCGTGGTTTATTTTTGGAAGGTGCCGGTTGGTTGCGCAAAGCTCAGTGTCTCACAGAACCTCTACCCATGGAATTAGTTTCTTCTATGCCGGTTATACACTTTAAGCCTGTAGAGCAATTGAAAAAGAAAACTAAGGGAATTTATTCATGTCCCGCCTATTATTATCCCCAAAGATCGGGTTCTTTTGTTATAGCTGTAGATTTGAAATCTGGCAATGAGAAGGCAGATCATTGGATTAAGCGGGGTACTGCTTTGTTGTTGAGTTTGAGTAATTAATTGTTTGTGTTGTTGTTTATTTATGAGATTTTTAATAATAAATTTGATAAAAAATTTAAGTTTCTCATTGATTTCAATTAGCAAAGTTTTTCTTCAATCGGCTAAAGCGAAAATTGAGAAACGCTATGAGGTCCAAGATAGTGAAGAACAATTTTCAATTAAAAGCAGGTATTTTATAAGAGATCAGAACTGAACTAGAACTGAACTAGATCTGAACTAGGACTGAACTAGGACTGAACTAGAACTGAACTAGAACTGAACTAGAACTGATCTAGAACTGAACTAGAACTGAACTAGAACTGAACTAGAACTGAACTAGAACTGAACTAGAACTGAACTAGAACTGAACTAGAACCGAACTAGAACCGAACTAGAACTGAACTAGAACTGAAGAAGAACTGAACTACAACTGAACTAGAACTGAACTAAAACTGAATTAGAACTGAACTAGAACTGAACCAGAACTGAACTAGAACTGAACTAGAATTGAACTAGAACTGAACTAGAACTGAACTAGAACTGAACTTGAACTGAACTAGAACCGAACTAGAACTGAACTAGAACTGAACTAGAACCGAACTTGAACTGAACTAGAACTGAACTAGAACTGAACTAGAACCGAACTTGAACTGAACTAGAACTGAACTAGAACTGAACTAGAACTGAACTAGAACTGAACTAGAACTGAACTAGAACTGAACTAGAACTGAACTAGAACTGAACTAGAACTGAACTAGAACTGAACTAGAACTGAACTAGAACTGAACTAGAACTGAACTACTAGAACTGAACTAGAACTGAACTAGAACTAAACTAGAACTGAACTAGAACTGAACTAGAACTGAACTAGAACTGAACTAGAACTGAACTAGAACTGAACTAGAACTGAACTAGAACTGAACTAGAACTGAACTAGAACTGAACTAGAACTGAACTAGAACTGAACTAGAACTGAACTAGAACTGAACTAGAACTGAACTACAACTGAACTACAACTGAACTAGAACTGAACTAGAACTGAACTAGAACTGAACTAGAACTGAACTAGAACTGAACCAGAACTGAACTAGAACTGAACTAGAATTGAACTAGAACTGAACTAGAACTGAACTTGCACTGAACTAGAACCGAACTAGAATTGAACTAGAACTGAACTAGAACTGAACTAGAACTGAACTTGAACTGAACTAGAACTGAACTAGAACTGAACTAGAACTGAACTAGAACTGAACTAGAACTGAACTAGAACCGAACTTGAACTGAACTAGAACTAGAACTGAACTAGAACTGAACTAGAACTGAACTAGAACTGAACTAGAACTGAACTAGAACTGAACTAGAACTGAACTAGAACTGAACTAGAACTGAACTAGAACTGAACTAGAACTGAACTAGAACTGAACTAGAACTGAACTAGAACTGAACTAGAACTGAACTAGAACTGAACTAGAACTGAACTAGAACTGAACTAGAACTGAACTAGAACTGCACTATAACTATTTATATCAATGAAACCTATGGTAATTTTGTAAAATATATTGGAGTTAGGTGTCTTTTAAAATAAGTCGACCCACTGTGTACAATTTGTAAATGCAATCTTTAGGAAAATATACATGCATTATAAACTTTTTGAAAATCACTTTTATCTTTTAATTATATTTTAATTGATTTTTTAATAGAAGTCAAGTGTCTGGTCAAAATTCTACCTGTAATAGATAAAATTAAATAAACACACCATTATGTACGATTGTCCGTTATCTTTCTGAATTTGATTTCTGTGATTGATTGCTAATTAGTGGCGCTAAACTTTACCAACCGATATATGCTTGAATTTTGGTTATTTTAGATCTAGTGGTCATTTAAAAAATGTATTTCAAACTATACACCACGTTACTTTTATTGATATTTGCGGGGAGTTATAAGAACATACAAGCTGCTGAAATTTTAGCTTTATTCATTAATGGTCATCAGTCCCATTTGTTGGTTTATGCTTCAGTAGTTAATTTACTACTTCAAAGAGGTCACCAAGTGACAGTGGTAACAACTTTAGATGTGGCAGATATTATAGATGTACAAAATATAAGATGGATTAAACTGTCTGAGAATTATACCGAGACTGTTATAACAACTGGTTCAAAGCGTATGAATGGTTTTAATAAACTGGAAAGAATGTTTAAGCGCATTGAAAATACGAGTAAGTTTATGAAAGATCCGCAGTGGCTGTCATTTTTAAAAGAGGACAATAACTATGATCTTCTAATCTTGGGTTATTTATTCAACGATTACCAATTGGGTGTGAGTGCTCATTTTAAGTGTCCAGTAGTATTAATATGGACCAGCCAACCTATAGGTTTTGTGCATAGTTTAATGGGCAATCCAGAAGAAAGGTGGTATGTTACACAGCCGTATGATAGTCATCAATACAACGGCATAAAGGCCGTAGCTTTCGGTTGGTTTGAAAAATTTGTGGAATTATTGGCTCTTGATAAAATGCAGGAGATTTATGAGTAAGTTACTAAGAGTAGAATTTTAGCAATTGCATTTTAAACTAATTTTTATACAATAATTACAGCAAACATTTCCCCGCCAAACATTACCCTTCATTTAAGGAAATACGCAAAACAGTTTCTCTGGTTTTATGTAATCATCATTCTTTAAGTGAAGGCCCCATAGCGCCTTATCTACCCGGCATAATAGAAATAGGAGGAATTGAAAACAAATTTATTTCTCAAAGAAATAAATTTAATCTCAGTGATGTTATAAGCGCAAACCAAAAAGTTATATATTTTAGTTTTGGTTCCCGAGTTAAATGGTCTTTATTCCCAGTTTCTTTAGAATCAATTTTTATAGAAGTTTTTAAAGCTTTCCCCAATTATACCATACTTTGGACTTATGACAAGAACTGCACACAACTTGAAATGGAATTTCCCTTTTCTAATGTTAAATGTCAACCTTGGTGGCCTCAGTCCTCTATATTAAATTCCTCACAAACTAAACTTTTTATTACCCATGGCGGCAAAGGCAGCATTACCGAGTCTCAATTATATGGGGTACCCATGTTGGGTATATCCTTTTTTGGTGATCAAAAAGTTAATGTCGATAAAATGGTGCATAAAGGCTTTGGTTTAAAACTAGATTTACGCAATATTACTTATGAAAATGTGGTGATAAATATAAAACAAATTTTAGATAGTGTTAAGTATGTTAATAATATTAGAAAATTTTCGGAATTGTATCATGATAGACCTATTAATAGTGAAGATAATACAGTTTACTGGTTAGAATATGTTTTACGATATAAGGGTGCCAAACATCTGCAGAGTCCAGTTTTACAATTGAATTACTTTCAATATTATTTATTAGATGTTTACAGTTTCATTTTAGTGGGATTTTTAATTATTGTGAGAATTTTGAATTTCTTGGAAAGGAAGGTAAAGCAGTAGTAAAAGAAACAAATAGAGAATCATATTGGTCAAACTGGAAAAAATAAAACAAATTATATGTACCTTAGCCATACACTAGGACCTAGTAAAGTGAAAAATATCTGTGATCGCTAACAATAACCTACCGAAAGGAATAATATTTACGATAATTCTGAAATCATGTCGACTTTCTATATAGACGAATCAGCATTTTTTATTTAATTTTGAATCATACCGATTGAACCAATATTCTTTTTTTTATTATAAAAAAATTGATAAAATGTTCGATTTACATTTAACTGAACTAGGACTGAATTAGAATTAAAACTAGAACTGTACTGAACTAAAACTGAACTAGAGCTGTACTAGAACTGAACAAGAGCTGTACTAGAACTGAACTAGAACTGAACTAGAACTGAACTAGAACTGAACTAGAATTGAAGTAGAACTGAACTAGAACTGAACTAGAACTGAACTAGAACTGAACTAGAACTGAACTAGAACTGAACTAGAACTGAACTAGAACTGAACTAGAACTGAACTAGAACTGAACTAGAACTGAACTAGAACTGAACTAGAACTGAACTAGAACTGAACTAGAACTGAACTAGAACTGAACTAGAACTGAACTAGAACTGAACTAGAACTGAACTAGAACTGAACTAGAACTGAACTAGAACTGAAATAGAACTGAACTAGAACTGAACTAGAACTGAACTAGAACTGAACTAGAACTGAACTAGAACTGAACTAGAACTGAACTAGAACTGAACTAGAACTAGAACTGAACTAGAACTGAACTAGAACTGAACTAGAACTGAACCAGAACTGAACTAGAACTGAACTAGAACTAGAACTGAACTAGAACTAGAACTGAACTAGAACTAGAACTAGAACTGAACTAGAACTGAACTAGAACTGAACTAGAACTGAATTAGAACTGAATTAGAACTGAACTAGAACTGAACTAGAACTAGAACTGAACTAGAACTGAAGTAGAACTGAACTAGAAATGAACTAGAACTGAAGTAAAACTGAACAAGAACTGAACAAGAACTGAACTAGAACTGAAGTAGATCTGAACTAGAACTGAACTAGAACTGAACTGAACTAGAATTGAACTAGAATTGAACTAGAACTGAACTAGAACTGAACTAGAACTGAACTAGAACTAAACTAGAACTGAACTAGAACTGAACGAGAACTGAACTAGAATTGAACTAGAATTGAACTAGAACTGTACTAGAACTTAAACTAGTCCACATAGGATTTAGTCTGTAGTCGAGTCTATAATCTAGGCTATAGTGTAGTTTATAGTCCAGTCTATTCTATAGACTAGTATATAGGCTAGTCCATAGTCTAGTCTATAGTCTAGTCTATAGACTAGTCTCTAATTCAGTCTAGTCTATAGTACAATGGAAAATATATTTAGTACTTTAAAACCTAAAAATTACTATTTTTGTTTTATGTTGGTACTATTTCAAAATATCAATTTTCCATGCCTGGTATTACATACATACACACATATGTAGATTACTTACATTTATTTTTGTTGTTATAATTGTCTGCTTATTTCACAGCTGAAACACAATAAGAATATTTTTTTCACATTTTGCTTATAAACAATTTCTTCTTTAAGTAAATGTAATAACAACAACATATTAATAATTTGCTAATATATACCCCCTCGTACACTCCCATTCGACAACACTCTCTTTCCGTTTTGCTGCTTACACCTTCTAACAATTGCTTTAATAAATTTGGCAAATTACACATTTTTATTAAATTTTCCAACACGTTTTTCTAAAACTTTTTTTTCATAAATTTTTTATATACCGATATAAATTAATATTAGTTTAATATTATATGTACAACAAATATTTTATTATTAACAATTAATCAACGTTGTAGCATAATTTAAACACTACCATTAAACCAAAACAACCGAACACTTTAGAAAAATTACGAAAACTAATGAAATGGAACAATAACAAAAAGCATCCATCACTTGTTGCAGTTGTTGTTATTGTTATTAGATATTTGCATTTTAAATGGAGCACTAATAATAACAACAACAATGACAATTTCTATTACCATTTGTTGCTTTAGTTATTTCTCTTGTTCTTTAGTTGATAAAATTTTCTAAAGTGTTCGGTCGTTTAGTGTTAGTAGTCCTGTTTAAATTAATATAAAACGTTAATTAATTATTAATATTTAAATATTTTTGTTAAAAATTGTTTATAAATACCGTTATGGAAAAATGTGTATTAAAAAGTGTTACATTATTAGTTTAAAAGTGTTTTAAAATTTACGAAAAATTCAATGCAATTTTGTTAGGCCGAGCGCCGGTCGGTGGTTTTCGTTTTGTTAAGTGATGAGAATGTGTTAAACAAAGGGGTAGGGGGAATGAAAAAAAAATAGTTTGAAAAAAGTCTGAGGGGAAAAGGTACGAAAAATAATGAAAAAAAGTAGTAAATGTGCCTATGTAAATATGTATGTGTTGCAAAATGTACATAAATATGTTTTATTTTGTATGCAAGGAAATACAAACGGGAGAATATCGTTATTTGAAGAACAAAAGAAAAAGGTGAGTGATTTCAAGTAACTGGCACAACATCTTTTTGTTTGTTTTGTAAATTTATTTTTTTTTTGTTATATGTATTATATTACAATCTATAAACTAGACTAGTCTATAGTCTAGTCTATAGTCTAGTCTATAGTTTAGTCTATAGTCTAGTCTATAGTTTAGTCTATAGTCTAGTCTATAGTCTAATCTATAGTCTAGTCTATAGTCTAATCTATAGTCTAGTCTATAGTCTAGTCTATAGTCTAATCTATAGACTAGTCTATAGTCTAGTCTATAGTCTAGTCAATAGTCTTGTCTATAGTCTACTCTATAGTCTACTCTATAGTCTACTCTATAGTCTACTCTATAGTCTAGTCTTTAGTCTAGTCTATAGTCTACTCTATAGTCTACTCTATAGTCTACTCTATAGTCTACTCTATAGTCTACTCTATAGTCTACTCTATAGTCTACTCTATAGTCTACTCTATAGTCTACTCTATAGTCTACTCTATAGTCTAGTCTATAGTCTAGTCTATAGTCTAGTCTATAGTCTAGTCTATAGTCTAGTCTATAGTCTAGTCTATAGTCTAGTCTATTGTCTGGTCTATAGTCTAGTCTATAGTCTAGTCTATAGTCTAGTCTATTGTCTGGTCTATAGTCTAGTCTATAGTCTAGTCTATAGTCTAGTCTATAGTCTAGTCTATAGTCTAGTCTATAGTCTAGTCTATAGTCTAGTCTATAGTAGTCTAGTCTATAGTCTAGTCTATAGTCTAGTCTATAGTCTAGTCTATAGTCTAGTCTATAGTCTAGTCTATAGTCTAGTCTATAGTCTAGTCTATAGTCTAGTCTATGGTCTAGTCTATAGTCTAGTCTATAGTCTAGTCTATAGTCTAGTCTATAGTCTAGTCTATAGTCTAGTCTATAGTCTAGTCTATAGTCTAGTCTATAGTCTAGTCTATAGTCTAGTCTATAGTCTAGTCTATAGTCTAGTCTATAGTCTAGTCTATAGTCTACTCTATAGTCTACTCCATAGTCTAGTCTATAGTCTAGTCTATAGTCTACTCTATAGTCTAGTCTATAGTCTAGTCTATAGTCTAGTCTATAGTATAGTCTATAGTCTAGTCTATAGTCTACTCTATAGTCTACTCTATAGTCTACTCTATAGTCTACTCTATAGTCTAGTCGTTAGTCTAGTCTATAGTCTACTCTATAGTCTAGTCTATAGTCTAGTCTATAGTCTAGTCTATAGTCTAGTCTATAGTCTAGTCTATAGTCTAGTCTATTGTCTGGTCTATAGTCTAGTCTATAGTCTAGTCTATAGTCTAGTCTATAGTCTAGTCTATAGTCTAGTCTATAGTCTAGTCTATAGTCTAGTCTATAGTCTAGTCTATAGTCTAGTCTATAGTCTAGTCTATAGTCTAGTCTATAGTCTAGTCTATAGTCTAGTCTATAGTCTAGTCTATAGTCTAGTCTATAGTCTAGTCTATAGTCTAGTCTATAGTCTAGTCTATAGTCTAGTCTATAGTCTAGTCTATAGTCTAGTCTATAGTCTAGTCTATAGTCTAGTCTATAGTCTAGTCTATAGTCTAGTCTATAGTCTAGTCTATAGTCTAGTCTATAGTCTAGTCTATAGTCTAGTCTATAGTCTAGTCTATAGTCTAGTCTATAGTCTAGTCTATAGTCTAGTCTATAGTCTAGTCTATAGTCTAGTCTATAGTCTGGTCTATAGTCTTGTCTATAGTCTAGTCTATAGTCTAGTCTATAGTCTGGTCTATAGTCTAGTCTATAGTCTACTCTATTGTCTAGTCTAGTCTACAGTCTACTCTATAGTCTAGTCTATAGTCTACTTTATAGTCTAGTCTATAGTCTACTCTATAGTCTACTCTATAGTCTAGTCTATAGTCTACTCTATAGTCTACTCTATAGTCTAGTCTATAGTCTAGTCTATAGTCTAGTCTATAGTCTAGTCTATAGTCTAGTCTATAGTCTAGTCTATTGTCTAGTCTATAGTCTAGTCTATAGTCCAGTCTAGTCTACAGTTCTGTCCATAGTAGTCTGGACTATAGTCTAGTGGAAAATTAATTTAGTATTTTAAAACTTGAAAAGTACTATTTTTGATTAATACTATTTGAAGATTTCAATTTTCCATGCCTGGTATTTTTAAGAAAATTCCGAAAGGGAAATTTTGTAATTGTTAAAACAGTGTGGCTACCATAGCCGTTTTATGGCTTTAAGATGATAACTGGCTAATGATAAACTGGTTTTTGTTAAGGGGCTATTGACTGTAGAGGTATTTTAGAGGAAAGTAGGATTATCAGTGAAAAACTGAATTTTTGATATAAATTAGGAAATATGAATTTGAAAAACAACTATTAATTTTAGTAAAAACTCTCTAAAATATTCCTATTGAAATAAAAATAACTTCGCTATATTATTTAAATAATGTCATCTGACTAGTAATTTATTATACAAAAAAAGAATATATAAAAAAATAAGTATAACAAAAATTATAAAAAAATATCCAAATAATAAAAAAAACATTAAATAGCTTTTCACTTAATATTTAGTACACATAAGTATGTATTAATTAGCGAAATTAATACTCATAAGCTAATATTTAAATATGTATGAAGTAGCCTAGTTATTAAATATAAACTTAATAATAAAGAAAAACATAATTAAGTACGAATTATTATACAAAATTATTTATTTATTTACTTATAAACTATTGTTTATGTATTTTGTTTATAGAATGTTAGTAAAATACTCTTGATTTATGCTTTATGGTATTTTTTTGTAAAGAAAATATAAAGTTTTAGCAAAATGTATTTTATAAATAAAAAAACTCTTGTTTAAGCATACATTAGAGATAGTAGTAAAATTTTGTTATGAATTTATAAAAGGAAATTTTTTTTAATTTTAAATAAAATTTAAACAAAAGTTTTAATAAGTTTGGAAAATATTGTGCAATACTGGTGAATGAGTTTTTTTATTTGTTATAAATTCCTAAAAATATAAAAAATCATATATATTCGTAGTTAGTTAAGGTATTCTTAGGACTTAAAAACTAAAATGTTTATTTAATATTTAGAAAAAATATCTAGGAAAATTAATTTTTAAATGTTTTGTTAGTTTGCTTTCATTATGGCAAGTAGTGAAAAATAATTTAACTAAAAACTAAAATCATATGTATTTAGCAGCTATAAAACAATGAATCTCTCTTAATTATACACATGGACTTAAAGTACTTGGATACTTAATAGCTAAAACTATTACATGGAAATTCGTTAAGTAATTATTTTGAAAATAGATGTATGTTTGTAGTAAGTATTATGAGTATTCAAGTTGTTTGTAGAAGATGTGATCTATAATAGCTGGGACAACGACCCACGCGTACATTATATTCACCATATGAGCAAACTGGCGGTTTGCAATTACGTTCCAATATGCATCTGCAAAGAAAGGAAATAATAATTTAAAATTTATTGAATTTTTGAAAAAGTTAATATATTATATTAAATGTATTATGATTTTGTCGAATTCAAACCAATTTAAATGTAAAATTTGATTTTTTACTAAAAAACGGATTTCCAATAATTTATAACCAGAATCTAGAAATTAGATTCTTTAGAAATTAAATTTTCGAATTCTTAGTATTTCCTTTTTGGTTTTTCACCAAAAGTTTTTTTTGCGAAAATCGAATTTTCTTGTTTAAAAAGACGATTCTTTGTATTACACACAACAATTTTAATATAAATGAACTACAGGTTATTTACCAAAAAGCCGAATTTTAATTAAAAAATTGTATTCTAAACTAAAAATTGGTCTATAACTAATTTCCTCTTATATTCCCCCTTCAACCATTCAATTATAACTTGCAAAAAAACGTCTACAATGGCAACATTGTTTTCATTGCCAAAAAAAATCCCTTTTTGCAAATTCTTCACTTCTTCTTCTCAGTTATTAGCGAGCGTCTTTAACATGCGTGTGTGCCTTAAATTAGTGTCGTATTAAAAATTAATTAAAAGTGTTAAAAAGTGTTATAAATTAAATGAAAATAGTATAAACTTGTAATTTAAACAATTATTAACAATATTCAAGTGTTTTTCTGCATAACGCAATAAAAATAATAAGAATTTTAATGAATAAAAATTCGACAAAAATTCTGCAAGTTTTTTCATGTTTTATGACGCCCCACTTGTTGCCGTGTTATTGTTTTTGCATCATCATTGTTATGTTTGTTGTTGTTGCTGGTCATTTATGTTGTTGGTGTTTTATTTTGGTGAGTACACACTAACTTGGGGAATATTTGAAATGGGAGTTTGGTGGTAAAAGAAGGGAATTTTTTTTATTAGAGCAAGTTGAAAAAAATAGCGGAAGAGGATGTAATTTAAAAATTCATCCCATTGATTGTTGTGTGTTGTTTTTATTTTGTTAAGTACAGGCATGGAAAATTGAAATTTCAAATTAGTATGATTAACTTGTAACATAAGAGTATTTTTTTTTATACACTATAGACTAGAATACAGACTAGACTATAGACCTAGAATATAGACTAGACTATAGGACTAGACTATAGACATTGCTATATACGGAATGTAGACAATATTACAGACTATGGACTATACTATAGACTAGACTAATGTAGACAATAGACTAACAGTTATATTATGAATATACTATACTATAGACTAGGCTGATATCGACTACACTGTAGACAAAACTAGTAGACTAGACAATACTAGATTATATAGATAGACTTATATAATATACTTATACTAGACTTAGACTGAACTATAGACTAGAATCTACTACACTATAGAGTACTATAGGCTAAATTATAGAATAGACTATAGATTAGACCATCGACTAGATTATAGACTAGACATTAGAATATACTAGACTTTAAACTTGACTATAGACTAGACTATAGTCTAAATTATAGACTAGACTATAGGCTAGATTATAGACTATACTATTAATTAGACTATAGAATAGACTTTAGAATAGACGAGACTATAGACTAGCCTATAATTCAGATTAAAGACTAGACTATAGACTAGAATATAGACTAGAATATAGACTAGACTATATACTAGACTATAGACTAGACTTTAAACTAGACTATAGACTAGACTATAGACTAGACTATAGACTAGACTATAGACTAGACTATAGACTAGACTATAGACTAGACCAGCGGTTCCCACCGTTTTTTACTTCGCGGACCCCTTGAGGAATTTATTTAATTTCACGGACCCCCATACATATTTTGATATCTTATTGTTATAAAATAACACTGTGATACAAAGTGAAGAAAAATAAAATGCAGTCGTTTTCATATACCAATTCTATTTCGTTATGGTCCATAGAGTACGAATATATTTTTAGTTTTTCCCTATCACTTCGTTAACTTACTTTTTAAGAGCAAAAGATGCGAAAAAGAGCCATTTTTGAAATTTTAAATTTGAAAAATCATAAGTTTAGTAGTTTTCATCCGATTTTCAAATCCGATATTTTTTTTTAATGATACAAGTGTTGCCTTTTAATCCAAAAAAAGAAATCCAAAATTTATGGTCAAATGTCTGAGTTACGGTCGTTTAAGTAAAAAACTCACACTTTTTTAAAAAATTTTCATTTTCATCATGCTCTTCTTTGGCCATGAGGCAGTGAGTTCATCTTTTATTACTTTCCTGAAGAATCACATAAAGAAAGGTTTCTAAAACTTGTTATTTCATAAAATCTATGAAAAACTGGATGATTTATGACAATTTTTCTAATAGCATGTTCCTCGAATTTTTGGTTTTCTCCATACAAATTAATTTTTGCATAAAAATGTTTATAAACATTTTTTAAACTTGTTACAAAGAAATCCAGAAACATGAACATTTTTGTATGGAAGAAATATGCTATATTTTTATAAAACTGAGCACAACTCATAACCTTTTTCATCGATTATCATAAATTGACCATCATTGGAAACCCAACTTAATGTGCCTTTTTTCAAATGTAATAAAAGCTAAAGTTACTGCTTCATGGCCAACGTAGAGCAGTATGAAAATTAAAAATTGTTGAAAAGTGTGAGTTTTTTACTTAAATGGCCGTAACCAAGACATTAATCATAAATTTTGGATTTATTTTTTTGGGTTGAAAGACAACACTTGTATCTTTAAAACAAAATATCCAATTTGAAAATCGGTTGCAAACTACCAAACATATATTGTTTTAAAGTTAAACCCTCAAAAATAGCTCTTTTTCACATCTTTTGCTCTTAAAGAGGAACTAAACGAAGTGATCGGGAGAAATTAAAAATATATTCCTACTCTATGGACTATAACGAAATGAAATTGGTATATGAGAACCCCTGCATTTTTTTGCTGTATCACTGTGTAATTGTTCGTCCGAAAATTGTCTTAGTCCTGGTTCATAAACCCTATAAAATATTCCCGTACATTGAGAATATTTAGTATTTCGGAGATGTTTTCAATTGCATGGTTTTAAATATAGAATGACTTCTAACATGATGTTTAATTTTATGATCGTGAGAGCTTTCATGTTCATTTCTCGTCAAGGTTAGCGAAAAGGTTTCTTTATCAAGTATTGTCGACATGTGCTTAAAGAGTCATGTTTCTAAATTTTTTTTGCGATTGCATAGGAGTGAGCTGAGTATGTAAGCTAAGTTTTCGGGAAAATATGTGAAAGTTAGACTTCTTCGATGTTGTTGCGGAATGCGTTACCCACATAAAATATGACCTGAACTCTTTGCGAATGTACTGTGAATTTGGATCTTAAATTTGAATTTTAAAATACCTACGAATTATTTTACTGCGTGGTTTTGACTATTTACGCATAACGCTATGAATTTTCTGATGTTGATTTAATAATATTGAACAACAAAATTAAGTAAAAATCTGTGTATCACGTCGGAATGGAATATTTATATTTAAAATTAACTAGATTAACACTTTTGCTTACAATTTAAAAAAAATATGAAATGTGACCTAACTTCATATTCCGGGATACCAGTATCAGTATTTAATTCTAAGGCAAATCATTATCCGTCTGCTATAAAAACACTTATTTCGATACATATACATTTATAAAAATTACAAATCACATAATACTTTACTTTATAAAAGTGAAACATAAATTTGTAGGGCCTAGCTTCATCCTGATAAACGACCGAAACAATAAAATTCAAAGAGTCACCAACAAATCTGGGATTATTGAATAAAAATTGTGTATTTTAGTATTTATGAAAAATTTGGAGATATTTTTAATATTTTCTAACATATAGAGAATATTTTTATTCATGATTTTTTTCGTTCGTCTTCGCGGACCCCCTAGGATTTTGCTACGGACCACTAGGGGTCCGCGGACCCCCTTTTGGGAACCGTTGGACTAGACTATAGACTAGACTATAGACTAGACTATAGACTAGACTATAGACTAGACTATAGACTAGACTATAGACTAGACTATAGACTAGACTATAGACTAGACTATACTAGACTATAGACTAGACTATAGACTAGACTATAGACTAGACTATAGACTAGACTATAGACTAGACTATAGACTAGACTATAGACTAGACTATAGACTAGACTATAGACTAGACTATAGACTAGACTATAGACTAGACTATAGACTAGACTATAGACTAGACTATAGACTAGACTATAGACTAGACTATAGACTAGACTATAGACTAGACTAGACTAGACTATAGACTAGACTATAGACTAGACTATAGACTAGACTATAGACTAGACTATAGACTAGACTATAGACTAGACTATAGACTAGACTATAGACTAGACTATAGACTATAGACTAGACTATAGACTAGACTATAGACTAGACTATAGACTAGATATACTACTATAGACTAGACTATAGACTAGACTATAGACTAGACTATAGACTAGACTATAGACTAGACTATAGACTAGACTATAGACTAGACTATAGACTAGACTATAGACTAGACTATAGACTAGACTATAGACTAGACTATAGACTAGACTATAGACTAGACTATAGACTAGACTATAGACTAGACTATAGACTAGACTATAGACTAGACTATAGACTAGACTATAGACTAGACTATAGACTAGACTATAGACTAGACTATAGACTAGACTATAGACTAGACTATAGACTAGACTATAGACTAGACTATAGACTAGACTATAGACTAGACTATAGACTAGACTATCTAGACTATAGACTAGACTATAGACGACTATAGACTAGACTATAGACTAGACTATAGACTAGACTATAGACTAGACTATAGACTAGACTATAGACTAGACTATAGACTAGACTATAGACTAGACTATAGACTAGACTATAGACTAGACTATAGACTAGACTATAGACTAGACTATAGACTAGACTATAGACTAGACTATAGACTAGACTATAGACTAGACTATAGACTAGACTATAGACTAGACTATAGACTAGACTATAGACTAGACTATAGACTAGACTATAGACTAGACTATAGACTAGACTATAGACTAGACTATAGACTAGACTATAGACTAGACTATAGACTAGACTATAGACTAGACTATAGACTAGACTATAGACTAGACTATAGACTAGACTATAGACTAGACTATAGACTAGACTATAGACTAGACTATAGACTAGACTATAGACTAGACTATAGACTAGACTATAGACTAGACTATAGACTAGACTATAGACTAGACTATAGACTAGACTATAGACTAGACTATAGACTAGACTATAGACTAGACTATAGACTAGACTATAGACTAGACTATAGACTAGACTATAGACTAGACTATAGACTAGACTATAGACTAGACTATAGACTAGACTATAGACTAGACTATAGACTAGACTATAGACTAGACTATAGACTAGACTATAGACTAGACTATAGACTAGACTATAGACTAGACTATAGACTAGACTATAGACTAGACTATAGACTAGACTATAGACTAGACTATAGACTAGACTATAGACTAGACTATAGACTAGACTATAGACTAGACTATAGACTAGACTATAGACTAGACTATAGACTAGACTATAGACTAGACTATAGACTAGACTATAGACTAGACTATAGACTAGACTATAGACTAGACTATAGACTAGACTATAGACTAGACTATAGACTAGACTATAGACTAGACTATAGACTAGACTATAGACTAGACTATAGACTAGACTATAGACTAGACTATAGACTAGACTATAGACTAGACTATAGACTAGACTATAGACTAGACTATAGACTAGACTATAGACTAGACTATAGACTAGACTATAGACTAGACTATAGACTAGACTATAGACTAGACTATAGACTAGACTATAGACTAGACTATAGACTAGACTATAGACTAGACTATAGACTAGACTATAGACTACTATAGACTAGACTATAGACTAGACTATAGACTAGACTATAGACTAGACTATAGACTAGACTATAGACTAGACTATAGACTAGACTATAGACTAGACTATAGACTAGACTATAGACTAGACTATAGACTAGACTATAGACTAGACTATAGACTATACTAGACTAGACTATAGACTAGACTATAGACTAGACTATAGACTATATAGACTAGACTATAGACTAGACTATAGACTAGACTATAGACTAGACTATATAGACTAGACTGTAGACTAGTCTATAGACCAGACTACACTATAGACTAGAGTATAGACCAGACTATATCATGGAATAGACAAAACTAAGACTATAGTTTTTTATATAAATCTTGAAGTTGTGTTATATAAATCTTATCATTTTATCTAATTTATTAGGATCGGTCATAATTGATCCTAGGTCCCAAATAAGGCCTCTTAAGAAAATCTATTTAAAAATTATAATTTTCGTAAAAATATTAGGCAACGCGATTAAATTCGACGTAAATATATAGTATAAAATACCTAGTGATCACACATATTTGATTATATTGAATAAATGTTTAAAACTAGAAGTCCCTTTATATAGGGATTGTCCACTTTTACTTATTTCACAAAAACCTGTAAATTTGCCTTAAAGACAAACAAAGTTTACTTAAATCTAAAAAAAACAGAACTATTAATAAATTGTTAGTTGTTAATCTTACTTGCGATCTTCCAAGGAAATCCTTCTTCGCCATGTTTAAACCGCAGACATGTTTGATTATTGACCAAACAGTCACAACGGCATTTGCGTATAAAAACACTGTGTGGTTTTGGTAAATGGGCATGACGCTCTACATCCTCTTCGAAAACATTAAAGTGCCGAGGACAATGGCAATCTAGCATATTTTGCAATTGCTCTTGATGATGTTGATTCGGACTCTGAAGCTGTGACGATGACTGCCGATATTCTTGCTGCGGTTGTTGTTGTTGTTGTTTTCTCTGTTGCCGTTGGAAATGATGCAAATAACTTGTACTACCCAGACCACCAGCAGCAGCACCACTACCACCAGATCTTTTATCACGTGGCATGGAATCATGCAACAATAAACTGGCACGATTGACGCAATGACATTCAGTATGATTTTGCATTGGTAACGCCTCGATTCTTTGCGATAATTAAAGTCATATGACTAAAAATAAATGTAAAAGAAAAAAAAAAACAAGAGAATTTGAATAAAAAAATACTTGTAGAAGGTTCTTAAGGTAAAAATATTAAAAAGGTTTATAAAAACTCATCTTTTTTAAGCAATCAGTGAACATATCAGTTATATTTGAAATTCCAACGAAAAGGAAACCAATAAAAATTTCCATATTTCTTTGGCTTTGAACTCATCTTTCGAAAAAAATAACTCTTTGCAGTAGATTTATTTAAAATGTGTGAATTCTGCCTGTTTTTCTGCCAATGTTTCAGTTTAGGATTTGTGTGAGTTTTTAACATTGAAATTTATGGTCGTGTTTTAAGTTAATCGCATTATTGCTTTTTAAAGTCCATAAGCTACCGAACACACCCACCTTAAGAATAAATATCCACAAACTAAGCAACCAACCAACAAACAAATGTAAAATTGTTAAATACTTTTAGTATTTGACACCACCGACTTACGGGTAAATATGTACATTTGTACTCCTATTCCTATATATTCTTCTTTATTTGTTGCTGTATTTCTTGCGTATTTTTTTGTTGTAAGGCGACCTCGAGCTGTGTTTTGTAGTTAAGTTTATTTTTTATAATTTGCATTAAGTAGTCTTGACAGCAGCTATGTTAAGTTATGGCTTAATAAACTTGGGCGTGTGCGACGACGCATTTTTATACCTTTACTGCCTAAGTACGCGTATTCCTGCCTGGTCTGTTTGTTAAAAAAAAAAACGAACGGCAAAAAAGGGGGAAAACTTATTCATACATCTTCATTTAGAAGTTTTTTTGTACTTATTTTGCCAAAGTTTCGTTATGTCCCGGTATGTATGAACCACTGTTGCTAATTTGACTTTTTTCTCGTCAAATCTAATGATTTTGAAATGGAGTCTACATTGTAATATACAGTCTAATCTACATTATAATCTATAGTCTTGACTAGTCTAGTCTATAGTTTAGTCTATAGTCTAGTCTAAAGTTATTCAATAGTCTAGTATAATGTCTAGTCCAGTCTGTGGTATAGTCAATAGCCTATAGTCAAATCTTTAGTACAATCTATAACTGAAAACATTATGTTTAGTCTATAATATAGTCTATAGTCAAGCCTATAGTGTAGCCAATAATCAAGTCTAGTCTATAAACTAGTCCATATTCTCGTCTATAATCTGGTCTATAATCTATTCTATATTCTAATCTATAGTCTATAATGTAGCTCATAATCTAGTCTAGTCTAATCTATAGTCTACAAAATAGTCTATATTCTCGTGTATAGTCTGTTTATATTGTCTAGTCTATAGTCTAGTCTATAGTCTAGTCTATAGTCTAGTCTATAGTCTAGTCTATAGTCTAGTCTATAGTCTAGTCTATAGTCTAGTCTATAGTCTAGTCTATAGTCTAGTCTATAGTCTAGTCTATTGTCTAGTCTATAGTCTAGTCTATTGTCTAGTCTATAGTCTAGTCTATAGTCTAGTCTATAGTCTAGTCTATAGTCTAGTCTATAGTCTAATCTATAGTCTAGTCTATAGTTAGTCTACAGTCTAATCTATGTCTAGTCTATAGTCTAGTCTATAGTCTAGTCTATAGTTTAGTCTATAGTCTAGTCTATAGTTATGTCTATAGTCTATAGACTAGACTGCAGACTAGACAATAGAATGTAGATTAGACTATATATAGTCTATAGTCTAGTCTATAGTCTATTCTATAGTCTATTCTATAGTCTAGTCTATAGTCTAGTCTATAGTCTAGTCTATAGTCTAGTCTATAGTCTAGTCTATAGTCTAGTCTATAGTCTAGTCTATAGTCTAGTCTATAGTCTAGTCTATTCTAGTCTATAGTCTAGTCTATAGTCTAGTCTATAGTCTAGTCTATAGTCTAGTCTATAGTCTAGTCTATAGTCTAGTCTATAGTCTAGTCTATAGTCTAGTCTATAGTCTAGTCTATAGTCTAGTCTATAGTCCTAGTCTATAGTCTAGTCTATAGTCTAGTCTATAGTCTAGTCTATAGTCTAGTCTATAGTCTAGTCTATAGTCTAGTCTATAGTCTAGTCTATAGTCTAGTCTATAGTCTAGTCTATAGTCTAGTCTATAGTCTAGCTATGTCTAGTCTATAGTCTAGTCTATAGTCTAGTCTATAGTCTAGTCTATAGTCTAGTCTATAGTCTAGTCTATAGTCTAGTCTATAGTCTAGTCTATAGTCTAGTCTATAGTCCTAGTCTATAGTCTAGTCTATAGTCTAGTCTATAGTCTAGTCTATTAGTCTAGTCTAGTCTATAGTCTATAGTCTAGTCTATAGTCTAGTCTATAGTCTAGTCTATAGTCTAGTCTATAGTCTAGTCTATAGTCTAGTCTATAGTCTAGTTTATAGTCTAGTTTATAGTCAAGTCTATGGTATAGTCTATAGTCTAGTCTATAGTTTAGTCTATAGTCTAGTCTATAGTATAGTCTATTCTATAGTTTAGTCTATAGTTTAGTCTATAGTCTAGTCTATATTCTAGTTTATAGTCTAGTCTATAGTCTAGTCTATAGTCAAGTCTATAGTCTAGTCTATAGTCTACTCTATAGTCTAGTCTATAGTCAAATCTATAGTCTAGTCTATAGTCTAGTCTATAGTCAAGTCTATAGTCTAGTCTATAGTCTAGTCTATAGTCTAGTCTATAGTCTATTCTATAGTCTAGTCTATAGTCTAGTCTATAGTCTAGTCTATAGTCTATAGTCTAGTCTATAGTCTAGTCTATAGTCCAGTCTATAGTCTAGTCTATAATCTAGTCTATAGTCTAGTCTATAGTCTAGTCTACAGTCTAGTCTATAGTCTAGTCTATAGTCTACTCAATAGTCTAGTCTATAGTCTAGTCTATACTCTAGTCTATAGTCTAGTCTATAGTCTAGTATATAGTCTAGTCTATAGTCTAGGCAATGGTCTAGTCTATAGTCAATTCTATAGTGCAGTCTATAGTTTAGTCTATAGTCAAGTCTATAGTCTAGTCTTTAGTCTAGTTATAGTCTAGTCTATAGTCTAGTCTACAGTCTAGTCTGTAGTCTAGTCTATAGTCTAGTCTATAGTCTAGTCTATAGTCTAGTCTATAGTCTAGTCTATAGTCTAGTCTATAGTCTAGTCTATAGTCTAGTCTATAGTCTAGTCTATAGTCTAGTCTATAGTCTAGTCTATAGTCTAGTCTATAGTCTAGTCTATAGTCTAGTCTATAGTCTAGTCTATAGTCTAGTCTATAGTCTAGTCTATAGTCTAGTCTATAGTCTAGTCTATAGTCTAGTCTATAGTCTAGTCTATAGTCTAGTCTATAGTTTAGTCCATAGTATAGTCTATAGTTTAGTCTATAGTTTAGTCCATAGTATAGTCTATAGTTTAGTCTATATTCTAGTCTATACTCAAGTTTATAGACTATCCTAAAGTCTACTCTATACATAGTTATGTTTATAGTCTAGTCTATAATTTCGTCTATAATCTAGTCTAGCTGTGTTAGTGTTGTGTAAAAAGTTGGCAACACTGATATGACCAAACATATTTTTTAATATTTAGTTTGAAGAAAAAACTTAGTCACGTTATGGCAAAATATGCATTTTGAATTGAATGAATTGAAAATAATTCAAAAGTTTTGTGAATGACGTCAAAGCTTACCGTAGTTATAAGAATTACTTAGTTCCTTTAGGTAATTATAGTCGTACGTCTGCCTGACCGTAAGTATTACAGTTATAATGTTGATCGTAATTTTGAAAATACAGGGTGATATAATTACAAGTGTCTTTAAAATCATTTTCGAGATATGATTATGAGAATCTTACATTTTCAATTTTAATTTTGACCCAAAAACGGCTTTTATTTCTTATTTGCGTTTTCAATGTTAAAACAAGTGACTTTAAAAGAAAACATTCCTAAAATACTTCAGTCTTGAAGTTTTTTCCCTTTCAATTTCTTTGCCAGTTTATAAACTTCAATTCTCATATTATTCGTCTTTTTCTTTGGTCAACAAGTTTATTCCCTTTTTCACTCTAGTTGCAATATTAAAACAAAATTGCATCAGTTTTATTTTTCTTCAAAAAATACTTACAAAAACATATACCATAACGATTTCATGCCTTTTAACCGTACACACACTGGCTGTGGAACCACAACAGCCGGTATCATCGCCACAACGATGCAAAATGGTGGCATATGGTTCATAACGTTTGGAAGTGTTATTCGAGACGGGTATGACGCGTGGCATTGGTTTACGACATTTAGTTGCCTGGATCATGCGGTGCCAATGTTCTGTGGCCAATTCATGTGGAGTTCCTGCAAAAAAATTTAAAGAAATATCAATATTTAATGAAAACATATCTATACAGACATAGGGTGGTTTTATAGCAAAACTTTTAAATAATCGATTTTTATAAGATACAAAAGAAATAAAACAACAGGATACTGTTCAATTAACATTTTCAACTTATGGTCGAATCACATATTGGACTACACTGTTAATTAAAATTCAGCTAGAGATGTAGAACTATTTTGTCTAGACTAGACTATAGACTAGACTATAGACTAGACTATAGACTATAGAGTAGACTATAGGCTAGACTATAGACTAGACTATGGACTAGACTATAGACTAGACTATAGACTAGACTATAGACTAGACTATGGAATAGACTATAGACTAGACTATGGACTAGACTATAGACTAGACTATAGACTAGACCATAGACTAAAGACTAGACTATAGACTAGACTATAGACTAGACTAGACTATATACTAGACTATAGACTAGACTATAGACTTGACTATAGACTAGACTATAGACTAGACTTTAGTCTAGACTAGACTATAGACTAGACTATAGACTAGACTATAGAAGAGATTATAGACTAGACTATAGACTAGACTATAGACTAGACTATAGACTAGACTATAGACTAGACTATAGACTAGACTATAGACTAGACTATAGACTAGACTATAGACTAGACTATAGACTAGACTATAGACTAGACTATAGACTAGACTATAGACTAGACTATAGACTAGACTATAGACTAGACTATAGACTAGACTATAGACTAGACTATAGACTAGACTATAGACTAGACTATAGACTAGACTATAGACTAACTATAGAATAGACTATAGACTAGACTATAGACTAGACTATAGACTAGACTATAGACTAGACTATAGACTAGACTATAGACTAGACTATAGACTAGACTATAGACTAGACTATAGACTAGACTATAGACTAGACTATAGACTAGACTATAGACTAGACTATAGACTAGACTATAGACTAGACTATAGACTAGACTATAGACTAGACTATAGACTAGACTATAGACTAGACTATAGACTAGACTATAGACTAGACTATAGACTAGACTATAGACTAGACTATAGACTAGACTATAGACTAGACTATAGACTAGACTATAGACTAGACTATAGACTAGACTATAGACTAGACTATAGACTAGACTATAGACTAGACTATAGACTAGACTATAGACTAGACTATAGACTAGACTATAGACTAGACTATAGATTAGACTATAGACTAGACTATAGACTAGACTATAGACTAGACTATAGACTAGACTATAGACTAGACTATAGACTAGACTATAGACTAGACTATAGACTAGACTATAGACTAGACTATAGACTAGACTATAGACTAGACTATAGACTAGACTATAGACTAGACTATAGACTAGACTATAGACTAGACTATAGACTAGACTATAGACTAGACTATAGACTAGACTATAGACTAGACTATAGACTAGCCTATAGACTAGACTATAGACTAGACTATAGACTAGACTATAGACTAGACTATAGACTAGACTATAGACTAGACTATAGACTAGACTATAGACTAGACTATAGACTAGACTATAGACTAGACTATAGACTAGACTATAGACTAGACTATAGACTAGACTATAGACTAGACTATAGACTAGACTATAGACTAGACTATAGACTAGACTATAGACTAGACTATAGACTAGACTATAGACTAGACTATAGACTAGACTATAGACTAGACTATAGACTAGACTATAGACTAGACTATAGACTAGACTATAGACTAGACTATAGACTAGACTATAGACTAGACTATAGACTAGACTATAGACTAGACTATAGACTAGACTATAGACTAGACTATAGACTAGACTATAGACTAGACTATAGACTAGACTATAGACTAGACTATAGACTAGACTATAGACTAGACTATAGACTAGACTATAGACTAGACTATAGACTAGACTATAGACTAGACTATAGACTAGACTATAGACTAGACTATAGACTAGACTATAGACTAGACTATAGACTAGACTATAGACTAGACTATAGACTAGACTATAGACTAGACTATAGACTAGACTAGACTAGACTAGACTATAGACTAGACTATAGACTAGACTATAGACTAGACTATAGACTAGACTATAGACTAGACTATAGACTAGACTATAGACTAGACTATAGACTAGACTATAGACTAGACTATAGACTAGACTATAGACTAGACTATAGACTAGACTATAGACTAGACTATAGACTAGACTATAGACTAGACTATAGACTAGACTATAGACTAGACTATAGACTAGACTATAGACTAGACTATAGACTAGACTATAGACTAGACTATAGACTAGACTATAGACTAGACTATAGACTAGACTATAGACTAGACTATAGACTAGACTATAGACTAGACTATACTAGACTATAGACTAGACTATAGACTAGACTATAGACTAGACTATAGACTAGACTATAGACTAGACTATAGACTAGACTATAGACTAGACTATAGACTAGACTATAGACTAGACTATAGACTAGACTATAGACTAGACTATAGACTAGACTATAGACTAGACTATAGACTAGACTATAGACTAGACTATAGACTAGACTATAGACTAGACTATAGACTAGACTATATAGACTATAGACTAGACTATAGACTAGACTATAGACTAGACTATAGACTAGACTATAGACTAGACTATAGACTAGACTATAGACTAGACTATAGACTAGACTATAGACTAGACTATAGACTAGACTATAGACTAGACTATAGACTAGACTATAGACTAGACTATAGACTAGACTATAGACTAGACTATAGACTAGACTATAGACTAGACTATAGACTAGACTATAGACTAGACTAGACTAGAGACTATAGACTAGACTATAGACTAGACTAACTAGACTATAGACTAGACTATAGACTAGACTATAGACTAGACTATAGACTAGACTATAGACTAGACTATAGACTAGACTATAGACTAGACTATAGACTAGACTATAGACTAGACTATAGACTAGACTATAGACTAGACTATAGACTAGACTATAGACTAGACTATAGACTAGACTATAGACTAGACTATAGACTAGACTATAGACTAGACTATAGACTAGACTATAGACTAGACTATAGACTAGACTATAGACTAGACTATAGACTAGACTATAGACTAGACTATAGACTAGACTATAGACTAGACTATAGACTAGACTATAGACTAGACTATAGACTAGACTATAGACTAGACTATAGACTAGACTATAGACTAGACTATAGACTAGACTATAGACTAGACTATAGACTAGACTATAGACTAGACTATAGACTAGACTATAGACTAGACTATAGACTAGACTATAGACTAGACTATAGACTAGACTATAGACTAGACTATAGACTAGACTATAGACTAGACTATAGACTAGACTATAGACTAGACTATAGACTAGACTATAGACTAGACTATAGACTAGACTATAGACTAGACTATAGACTAGACTATAGACTAGACTATAGACTAGACTATAGACTAGACTATAGACTATAGACTAGACTATAGACTAAGACTAGACTAGACTATAGACTAGACTATAGACTAGACTATAGACTAGACTATAGACTAGACTATAGACTAGACTATAGACTAGACTATAGACTAGACTATAGACTGGACTATAGACTAGACTATAGACTAGACTATAGACTAGACTATAGACTAGACTATAGACTAGACTATAGATAGACTATAGACTAGATTATAGACTAGACTATAGACTAGACTATAGACTAGACTATAGACTAGACTATAGACTAGACTATAGACTAGACTATAGAATAGACTATAGAATAGACTATAGAATAGACTATAGAATAGACTATAGACTAGACTATAGACTAGACTATAGACTAGACTATAGACTAGACTATAGACTAGACTTAGACTACTCTAGACTAGACTATTAGGACTAGACTATAGACTAGACATAGACTAGCTATGACTAGAACTTAGACTAGACTAAGTACTATGACTAGAGACTACTAGACTAGACTATAGACTAGACTATAGACTAGACTATAGACTAGACGATAGACTAGGACTATAGACCTAGACTAAACTCTACTAGACTAGACTATAGACTAGACTATAGACTAGACTATAGACTAGGCCTATTAGGACTAGACTATAGACTACTATAGACTACTAGACTAGACTATAGACTTGACGATAGACTTGACTAGAGCTAGACTATAGACTAGACTATAGACACTAGAGACTAGACTAATACTAGACTACTAGACTATAGACCTAGATCTATAGACTAGACTATAGACTAGACTATAGACTAGACTATAGACTAGACTATAGACTAGACTATAGACTAGACTATAGACTAGACTATAGCACTAGACTGATAGACTAGACTATAGACTAGATTATAGACCAGACTATAGACTAGACTAAAGACTGGACTATAGACTTGACTATAGACTATACTGTATACTAGTTTAGGAGATATGAGGTTACCGAATTTTCTCGTTCCACTTCCAAATTTCCCGTTCAACAAAATTTGCCATTTAATTAAAATGTTTATTTATTTGTTTTCTTTAAACTTATTGAATTCAGTTTCATTGAAGTGAATTTAGTAAAATATATTTAATAATATTTGTGAATATAAAATTTTCCAAAAATATATTCCTTCATTTTATGAATTATTAAATATCAATTTACAAATTAAATGAAATTAAACGAAAGCAATTTATTTTGTTTGTATTTAATTTGCATTAGATTTAGAGCAAACAAATTAAATGAATTTTATTATGAAGAAATTTAATATACAATAAATTGTATTTAATTTTTAAATGTTAATATATTAAAATGCTAATATATGAAACTAAATTTGTGTTATAAACAATAATAATTTTAAATGAAAAAGTATAATTTCGGAGCAT